GAATGAATTGAGACAATGCCAAAATGCAGAGCATCTTACGTTGAGTGAAAGTTTTGCTTGCAAATGATTCGTAATAAAGTAATTTTTATTGACGCTAGGTAAAAGAAGGTATAATGGGGTCAAAAACCCGCTATTGTTCTGGCCATAAAATACGCCATAACTTTGATGTGCTCTTGTTACGTTTTATGTTTTTTTAGTGTTTATTAATTTAGAGTTCTTGGTCGTGTACGGATCTTAGGACCAAGATTTTTGAAGTCATTTACAAGTAATAATATGATTTATTTAGGTGTCTTTTTAACATTAACCATAGAAAAAAATATATTAATAAAACCTTGTTATTTTATAAAACACATCCATGGTAGACATTCTAGAAACAAATGAGGTGTTTTTTTATTTCATTGGTCGGCAAACAAGCAGACAGATTACCTGATGGTAAGCAATCAGCGCCGCCTATGGACAACCGCCGTAACAGAAACATGGATCTGCCACTCTTTATTACAGGCAAATTAGAACCTCTTTATTACAGGGAAATTAGGAAAAGAAGAACTGTTAATTGTGAACCTCTGCTATCACGAACACCGTCTCTTCAAAAAGCATTGTGTTTTCTAAAACATTATTTATAAATATAGAAACAGTCTAAACACAAACTCTTTATTTAATTGCCTGTTAATCTGGTCATTAAATTGTCTCCAATTTACTTTTATTTACACTTAAATACGTTTTTGATTGATTGTTATTTTTGTAACATCATTATTTCTTTTGTAAATAAATCGAGGCGGTTTATCATTTTGTTCTATGCAGCCCATTATTATATACAGAACCCACGTCACTCAAATTAGTCTCTTTCTTAAAAAGAAAATGTTCAACATCAGTGTCATTTTCGTTTCATCTCGTTTGATATGCTAAGCCTTACTAAATCTTATAACATTACAGTGAAAAGTGGCTTTCTCTAAGTTAATAATGACATTTTGATATCAAAGTTTCTTTTGTTACATATTATAGTTCTTCTAAGTCATTAAACTATAAGTACGTATGTGTATTAAAGTACTTATAGTATACAAGACATGCGCTGTAGTGGCTAATAATTTTGTGGAAAGAGAAGAAAAGAAAGAAAAAACATTTATTTGAGACTCGCACAGAAAACAAATACAATTACAAAAACATTCTATACATACAAAAAGAAGAAAAAGAAAAAATAAACAAAACAACAAAAAATGATTAAAAAATAAAATAAAAGACCTGTGCGAGGTCAAAAAGGCCACTATCTCAGCATATGCTGCGATAATTCACCAGTAGGTAAAAATACCGCAGCGCTGGTAGTATATTTTATTTGTATTTACTAGCTGGAAGTGAGTGTTATTTGTATTTACTAGCTGAAGTGTCGTGGTGGCCTGGAGGTTAAGGAGCCCGCTTCTCATGCATGAGAGTGTGGGTTCGAAACCTGGCAAGTACCAATGTGACTTTTTCCGAGTTATATGTACTTTCTATGATTATTTAGACACCACTGACATACGGTGAAGGTAAACATCGTGAGGAAACCTGGACTTATAATTTCTAATTGTAAGTTTGAAATCGCCAACCCGCATTGAGCAAGCGTGGTGATTAATGCTCAAACCTTCTCCGTGTGAGAAGAGGCCTTTGCTCAGCAGTGGGCACTTATAGGCTGATGATGATGATGATTTACTAGCTGGTAACACAACATTATTAACGGATTTTCTTTGTTTTTATAATAACTATCGTGAGACATACTAAATTAACTAAAATTCGCGGGTTACTCACGTGTAAATGTTGAGAAAAGCTCTACTAGTTTCGAACCACAGAGGGGTTCTTCCTCATGAGCAGCGTGCGCGGACGCGGCGACGTCGCTCAGCCTACTGACTCAACATTTACACGTGAGTAACCCGCGAATTTTAGTTAATTCGGATTTTCTTTCTTAGTTTCTTCTTTGTATATTCTTTTATTATGTAATAGGATTACAAACGAGAAGACAGATCACCCATAGTCAGCATTCAGCGCCGTCCATGAACACCCGCAACAGTAGAGGACTTACGAGTGCGTTGCTTACCTTTTGGGGATGAAGGTTATTTTAGGGATTGGGACAGGAGAAAGATTCGGCCTCCGGTAACCTAACTCATACTGTGAAACAAAACAGAAAATCGGCGCCAAACAACCATAGTATTGCTATGGTTGTTTCGAGCCGATCTTCGGTAAGGCCGTGATATCACTTCGATCCGATCCATTCGGGCCGTGGCATGGCTCTCCCACAATTAAAATATATGCTTGTGGTCTTAAGCTAGTTTTTATATTAGAAAGGTTTTATTAACCTGGTCCTTATGGTGTAAGGTCCTTGAGGTGAAGACAGTCGCATGGGACCTTAAAATACCTTTCGTCAATACTTCTTGGCGCTTTCTTACGTTGCGCGTGTCAAGAAACGGATAAGTCACTAGGAACTACGCATTTGTCAGAGATTGAGTGCTGTCTGATAAATCCAAACATTTTTAAAACAGCGATCTCCAACCCACCTGCAATGCATAGTGATATGGAAAATGTAATACATTTGGTGGGAGTATAATGGCTTCGGAACTCATAGACTGCTATCTTTCATAACTCTTCATTGGGCTTCATGATGTGCTGCGTTTTTATTCAGTAAGATGTTGACACTCCCTTTCAAGAGAAGACAAAGGATGATTTGCCCCATTCAAAAAAAAAAAAACAATTTTAGAGTTAACAAATAAACTCGTTAATATTTTTTTTTCTATCTTTTAAATAATTCAACTAATCAGTTGACATAGATTGCTATCGACATGTTTTTTACCAACCTAATTATCCAAGTTACGTTGGCAACCCTACCCCGTTCTAGTTTTTGAGCGTCGTGCGTGAGAAACATTGGACTGCGCAATGGCAACATTGATTGCTCGTGTTTAGATAAAAAATGAATTCATACGAACTTAGGTTAAGTTATTGCTAATTTTATGTAACTTACCGGATACTGTGTTATTACAGTTGTAGGTTGATAAAAAATATTATTTGTGATTAGTTAGTATTTCTTTAGAGCTAGGCCAGTTATTAATATTATCTATACTAGTATTACAGAGAGGTAAAATTCGTAAGTTTGTATGTAGGGGGGGTAATCTTTGGAACCGCTGGTCGGAGTGCCAAAATTCTTTCACTGATAGATAGCTACAATGTTCCTTAGCGCTATAGGCTAAAACATCACGCTATGATCAAATGAAGCTGAGCAGCGGGTGAAACCGCGTGAGAGTAGCTAGTCGTCTATAAGGACCTTGATAACTAACTAGTTCGATGCTGTTTATTGACCGCCCATGGACCCATGGCAACGTTAGAGGAGTTAGGAATGCCCTGAACGCCTTATATTTTTGAGGATTGAGTGTCGGAGATTTATGGATTGGGCTGCTGGTACACTTAAATTACACGGCGAAACACAACGCTGAGTATGTTTCACGCCGGTTTTTAAATAGCATCATCTTCTTTTATTGCAGACTGGGTAAAAAAACATAATGCGTAATGCCACATACAAAATGTGCACTCTATCATATGGAAGTGCTGTTGCCACTTCTGTATACCAGAAGGTTTTACTCAAAATGGAAGTGGAAACCGAGAGAAGGTATTTGATGATTATTCTCTAAAAAGGCGACATAGAGGCGCATCTTTTTCTTGTTTATTCATCTTTCTTTTTTAAAACCATCAGAACCAAATCCCATACATTACTTAAGTAAATTAATAAACAAACAACTTTTAAAATACGGAGAATGTGCTTTTAATGTATGCCAATGATATTATCTTCACTCAGATTCTGTGATCTCATCTCAATTAATGACGACTAACAGTGAAAATGTATACAGAAAGTGATCTGTATACTTTTTGTGGTGAAAATATTCTAGTTAGATAAACAAGGGCTTATTGTTATTATGTAAGAAATTATTCGATGAGAAGATTTTTTGTTATATGTATACGTTGCCCCACACTAAGATTTTTCCTGTGTCGTGGGTGCGGTTATAAACATACGATTTTACATACACAAGCCACCCAGACCCGAAACAACAATTTGTGGATCAAACAAACAGTTGTTCCGTACGGGAATCAAACCCGCGACACGTTGGACGGCAGCCAGTTGTTTGTAGTCAGTAAGAGTCTGATATTCCCTCCTCACCGAGGGCGAGAGAAATCATTGGATGATTTTCAATCATTATCAAAAAAAAACTCAATTACTTTCATTTTTATAGGTACAGGTACATATTTTTTTTTTGTTTTTCAGTGAAACTAAAGATACTTATATATTTTTTAAACGTGAGCCCCACGCTAATTTTTTCCCTGTCTCGAGGGATGTGTTTACAAACATAAAATTTTACATAAACAATACACTCAAACCAAGATTTGAGGATAAGTTAAAGAGTTGTTCCGTGTGGGAATCAAGTCTGCAACACGTGAAAAAGCAGCCATTTGCCCTGTCATTGCCTTAACTATTTTAAGGAATGTAAACATATTAAGGTTCCGGACGTAACCGATTAACTGGACATAGGCCAGCTTTATAGCTACGGAAATTCCAGAAATACAAAATCTAATGTAATGTTTAAATAAATAATATGCACGACCTTTGTTAATAAATAGTATAATTATACTCTAACCAGTATCTGATATTAGCGGGAATAAATTTAATTAAGTAGATGATTTGATTTTAATTAAAAGTAAAAATATGGAATAATCTACCCACATAAGTCTAGTTGTTTCAACAATCACTGTCTTCTGAGTCTGAGCACGAGTTTCTACTCAGCACAAAATTACTTTACTTTTTGGTACCTGTAGAGTTAGGGCACCATTCAGTCACTGCGACCGTGGCTTGGAGTAGGTGAAAGAACGAAGTGGTTTTGAGTCAGTAAAAGTCTGACACCTTCTCACCCAACAACGGCCAGAGAAGAAATTCGGTGGTTTTCCTCTCTCAAAAAAGAAAGGGCACCATTAAGATAAAAAGCCAAGTGTGATTTAAAAGTTTATTTATGTTAAAATCAGTCAATACTTTCTTGCTTAATTACTATCTTTCTAATTAAAATGACATAAAGCCTCGATCGGCAAAAATGACTCATAGTTCCTACATAATTTAAAGAGCAACATTTCTCTTTGAGAGTTGCTCAAATAATTTTAATAGGCGCATCAATAACACAAGTTTCTTCCATTGGTTTACTAACCATTCCTCCTAGACTTTTTATTAGTATTTGTTACACATAAATTAATACTTATTAGTCTTGTTGTTGTATTAGTTATATTGTGTTTGGTTCCCGCCTTAGACACCATGCCTTTTTGCTTCTGAAACAAATAAACACGAATATTTATAAAATTAATGTACTTACTTTTAAATAATAAATTATATGTTGTAAAAATTATTGTTACTGAATTTGTGTCGTGGTACCTAGATTAAAGATTAAAGGGGTTCAAAGTGTTGCTTATACCTACATATATGACTTTTCCAATTTCTATTATCTACTTTCTCATATTATTTAGACAATAAAAACAAAAAATAAAAGATTTGTGAACATGAATTTATAATGTCCAATAAAAATTTATGCACTAAAAACTTCTCCAAGCGAGCAAAAAGTCTTTTCTGGACAGTGGGCACTTATATAACTGAATTCAGAGCAATTTACAAAACATGATTTATTGGTATTCAATTTAGCAGGCGCTATAGTGTAAAATTTCGTTATACTGAAGAAATTAAAACTAGGTCTCTATTTAAATAAGCCATAAAAACAGGTTATTGTTGAGGCTATTTGTGATGCCTTTATTTTTGGAGAGAAATCATTCAATCATTCAATTCTTGCTTTGAGTCGGGCAGGATTGAATGACAGTATCATAGAAATTATGCCGTTACTTCTTCTGCTAGGGGCCGGATAAGATACCACCATATAAATATATATAATAAATATACCTACATATATATGGCCACCGTAAGTAAAAAAAAACAAAACAGACCTTAATTTAAAATATAAAATATGTTTTTAATTAACGTCTGTTTTGTTGTATTTGTGCCGAATAAATGCATTTTAAATTTTTTCTTTCTTGTTTTTTTTTAAATTATTTGTATGAACTTACTTCAAATACTGGTTCAGTTCCCTCTTGTTGCAAGATGACCAGGTTTTCGCTGGGTTCTTGGGGTTGTACTTGGCATCCATGATGTATCTTTGGCCTCTACACTCGTTGTGGGGCGGCCCATCGTGGGATATACCCAAACTGGAATAAAAATACAAACTTAGATCAGAATCATTTCGTAATATTTAAGGTGCCGTGGTGGTCCGGAGGTAAAGGCGCCTGCATTTCATGCAGAGGGTACGAGTTCAAAACCTGGCGAGTACCAAAAGGACTTTTCCGAGTAATATTATGTACTTTCTTTGATTATTTCTGACATACGGTGAAGGAAAAAATCTACTTATATATATTTTTTATAAGTTTGAAATCACCAATCCGCCTTGAGCAAGCGTGGTAATTAATGCCCAAACCTTTCCGTGTGAAAAGAGCTCGCTCAGCAGTGGGCATACTGATGATGATAGTGAATACTTAGTACCGAATTTTGCAGGGGTTACGAGTGTACAAACTCTTTTATAGTAAGCGGTTAATGACCGCTAGGGCAACGCTAGGGGTCTCGGTTTGGGTAAAAGTAAACCCCTTTTTTGAGAGTAGAAAATCATCAATTGACTTCTCCTGCCCGCGTGGGGCGAGACGGATTGTCAGACTGTGTCTTAACTGAAAAAAATCACCCCGTTCCTTCACCTGCCTCAGGCCGAGGCCATGCAACATTATTGTGCTTGAACCGTATATTTATAAGATTTTGATAATATGACATAATTTATGATTTTTTTTTTTTGTATAAAGGAAATTAATCTATATCTATATTATTAATAATATAAATGCGTAACTCTGTCTGTTTTTTCTTTAAACCTAAACTACTGAAGCGATTTCTGTGAAATTTGGTACAGACTTAGTTTGTAACTCGAGAAAGGACATAGGATAGTTTTTACACACAAAATCTGCAGGATGTCACGCGGGCAATAGCTAGCGCGAAATAAAAATGGTACATTTCAGTACAATGGTACATGATTCTGATTATGAATACCGTTAGCATACTAATATGCTAATTATCTTCACTACTCAATGACCTAGACTAGAACAATTTAGGCTTCATAAAACACAATTAGATTTTAGAGAGCATCACTTAAAAATACCAATTACACCAATATCTACCTATAGTAGACGGTATTTTCGCACTTAACCCAATGTAAACAAAGCACAAATTCACACTTGCGGATATTTCGCACTTGATATTAGGATTCTTAGAATGCTATTAACTGACTGAGGAGTTTTGACAACGGCAGCTGAAGTTACACCAATATGTTCAATATCTTTAAATAACTATGAACTGTATTCTTTTCATGATAAAGACGAAAGTTAATTGGATATAATTGACGAATTGGGGTAGGTTGATGTGCTGCTTGCGACCTAGTGACAGGTCGATGTCTTTATTAGCTTAAACAGAACATTTCAAGATATATTATATATATGTACATCTTGAGTGACGTGAAGACACGGCTTGTGTCCTATTATTAGTAATTGATAATAATGCTGTCTTGATTTTTATCGCAGTCTACAAACAGAGGGCAATGTCTTGTAGTTGTTTTTAAGTCCTTCTTCTTTCTTTGAAGACATGGGATTGTAATACACACTTATGAATTCATTTTTTACGACTTACATACTACGTGTAAGGAAAGTAAAGACAAGACATTGTAGTCAATATTTCCTTAACCCTCTAGTCTAAAATAACAAATTATTTTAAGTGGATTAAAAACACGAAGTGTCTCATTTAATCAGGTGTTTTATGAGACCTAAATCCGATATGTATCAGATACATTTGAATATAGAACATCATTTTTATGGATTATGAACCATGTAACTGTTAGAGGGTCATGCTTCGGTACCAAGACCTCACAGAAAACCGTAACTCAGATTACTTAACGCCTAGTTCTTTCCCTCTCCTTTCCGTATCATGTAATCCCTAACGAACCGCAAAATTGGGGCATCATGGTGGTAACTCTTGTGTGTATAGCGCGCAGCCCCAACCTGGAGCAGGAGAAGGAAAGAAGCTTTTTATTCAATTAGGGTCTGACACTCCCTTTAGTCATTTGATGATTTTCCCCGGAAAAAATAAAAAAAAACCTCTTCTGGTGTTGGAGGTGTCTATAACATTGTCTACCGACAAATGATTCGTAAGCTAATTTGCCTATTAATCTGACGAAAATATGTTTATTAGGTATTTGTGAAGATGTGAAAACAACAATATCAAAATAATAGCTGTTCTTAAAATTAATCAAGTACCTGATTACTAAATATACAGACAGCCATGTACATGGAACAATTCCATTCATTACTATAGAACTTAATTTAAATTTTTGCTTTAAATTAATAAAGCGATTTCTAGAACAAAATCAAATAAATTGTCAGACACTAGTGTCTAAAATTAGCGAATGACTATAAACTGCTAGTCATAAATGTTTTAGGAGTCATGCATCATTATTCAATCACTGATAGAGCAACCGATGAGCAGATCTTTGGTTCGATATCTGGATTGGCAAAGTATAAAGAAGACAAATATTGAATGTTGTGGGACTCTTAATGTAACTTACTTATATGACTTAGAAGAAACAGAATTGTGCGTTTGGAAATGTAGGAAATTATAGAAAAAATATTTTAAGTGATGAGTGACATGCTTCGGACTGAATGAATGTCCTCGACCGAACTGTTGAATCAACTAAAGCGTTGTAATTGAGAATGAGGTTTCAAAGGGCCCAATTCTCGCTTTCTCCCACTCAAGTCCTCAACTCTCAAATCCTTTATTTTCAAAAAGCCAGCAAAAGCGTGCGTTACTTCTTTAGTGATGTGGCTGTCCGAATGCGGAAAAGATTGCTTACCATCAGCTGCTAAATCAGCTCGTATGCTGAAGTGTATCAAGTGAAGATAAATATTCACCTGTGTGCTATTTCATGTGTAAGTACGTAGGCGATATGCTTAGGATGCCACTCCAGCAGGGTGCAGCTGTTTCTGATGCTGCACATACTCTTCATGTAGCCTCGACCTGGAATATTCATGGAAAGACGATACTTAATCGTGTCATCTATATACACATTCATTATATCTCCCATCTTTTCTTCAATTTTGGGGCCGTAACAAGATTTTAACGAAGATTAGTATCGATGGAATAATTGAAATCGCTTTAAATAACCCCTCTTTTTTCTCCCTTTAAACTACCACTCTATTCTGACAAATGCTTAAGGTTCCATGACTAGACTATTAAAATAAAAATAAAACATCAATAAACCTCAAAGTTTTTTCACAAATTTTTTATATTTTTACGTTCATTGTCATCATTTAAATTTAGCTACAACTATACAAAAATAGCGGATGGACTACAAAATTAACACTTAAACTCCAATAGAATGAGCAGCTTCGAATGCAGCCGATAGTGTGCGAAATATTTCTGCATTTCCTAGCATTGGGTCCCCATCTATGTTCATTTCCATAATTGGCTCTGACTTTTATTGCTAGGAGGGAAACAGGTTGTACTGTGAGCTGTTTATTATGTTTTTAGATAAGGTGTGTTTTACTGAAGAAATAGTGAGATGAAATTTGCTTTACAGTTAATACTGTTGGGAATTTCACAAGGCTGCTTTAACAGACTTGTTTTGTTACTTTGTTGGCGAATTTTATGATTGGAGTGGTACGAGTATGTTCTTGAAAGGTTTTAATTGTAATTTATGAATAAGTGCCGAAGCATAGCTCTCCTAGTTTGGCTTCGGCACAAATGGGTCGGTTCGACGGGAGTGATACCACTGGCTCACAGAAAAACGGCGTGAAATAACCACAACGGTGTGTTTTGCCGTGTAAGTGAGGTTACCAGAGGCCCAATCTTTTCCCTCTCCCGATCCCGCCCCAATCCCTATATCCTCCGTTACGGGTGACCATGGGCGGCACTGATTGCTTACCACCAGGTAATCTGTCAGCTCGTTTGCCGAACTATTACATGAAAAAAATAAACTACTATCGATGAAGAAATGTAATAAAACAATAATTAATTCCTACCTAGTAAAAAGTTTAACCAAAAATGTTATCAAAACCTAAACTTCCTCATAGATTTTCAATGAATTTAGCTCCTAATAAATTGCTTTACATACCTGTACTACTCCTAACTTCAGATCCGTACTGATCTAAGTAGAACAGATCCAATCCAGTAAACAGCACAGAATAGAACCACTTCTGCTTGGCTAGCTTCTTCTCCCCTTGCCATCTACAATAGCTCTTCAGATATTTCGAAACATTTTCATCCATCACAACCTTCTTAGTATTGTTCTTTAGGATCTTTACGTCTATTAATTCCATCTTTACCTTCTGCTGTAGGTTTGGATGTGAAAATAATTCTTCCACGTCTCTTAATATGTCTATTGCCAGTAGTTTGAACTTTTCTCTTATTTTGTGCTTTGATTCTTTTGATAGTGTTCTTGTTAATGCTTTGTCTAAATGCATCATTACTGGTATTGTTATGTCCGTCTGTTTTGTGTAGTACTTTATTGATGCCTTGTTCTGTAGTTTTGAGTTGGTTAAAGTGTTCTGTAAATAAAATTAAATTATTATTATTACTTATTCAGTGACTTTTTTTTAGACTAAGTTGCTTCTCTGCTCACATGAATGGAAGCGTGACTGTGAGAAAGTCTCGGATTCTATCGCATTATGTGTTATTTGAATTTTTATTTTCGAAACTAGTTCAGAACATGGAGTCTGGACTTGCAATTGCCACGTTTATACAGAATTAAAGACGTGAAAAATCGATGCTGATTTATTAAGACTTGTGTACCTCTATTTTTTATTTTGTAGCCATGTGATATGTATTGATTTTGCTGAAATGTTGCTTTTAATTGAGTATGAAAAAGTATTCTTACCTCTTCATTATTTTCTAATTACATGGAAGAAATAAAATAGTGTCTAGTTTCTAACAATAGTTTAACTTCCGAATAAATATAATATTTATAACGTGAAGTGTTGTTAACTTTTCGTGATGTAAATACTGTATATTTTACAATCGCATGATCTATGTGGTTTTATGACTGGATTGGTAATTATGAAAGGAAGGTAGGGTATAGTTTCGTCATCTCAGATCAATGTTATGTCCTGCCCACGTTTAGAACAGTTTAGAGATCGGTTGAAACAAATAACATAGGTATGATAATTTTTCGCAGAAATTAATAATTCTGATACTAGAAAGAAAGAAAGAAAGAAAGAAAATATACTACTGTTTTAATTCTCTCGATAAATATATTTAAGTAAGAATGAATAGATGTTAAAGTTATGACCCTGATCGTATGCTAAAAGAGCTTTTATTGGTGTTTGTGGCAAAATTATCAAATGACTTCTTCCGCCCCGGCTTCCAACATCGGCCCCATTGAGCCCGATCTGTGGTAGTCTAATGGCTCTTTGAAGTATGGTGCGTCGACTCTCATGTAGGTATACAAATGTAATATTGCACTAAAGTTGAATCAAGATTTGTGCAATTGACTTACATATTTAGTCGAAAATAAATAACTAAAGGTAGGTATATAACATATTAGGTATAACTAATACAACCATGTTTTCAGAGTTCAAATTAGTTTTTAATATGTAGTAGCCGAGGTAGTTGTAGAGTAGTCAATAAAAATTAAATACTGTTATTGTTCTAAATGGCTATTCTGGGAGAAGCAAATTTATTTAGCATCAATTCCTTACAGTGACAAATTGAGGTCGCAGACATGTAAAAAAACTATGCAACACATGTTCAGTCATAGTCTTTTAGTATTTAGACAACATTTGGTGCTTTTAATTGAGATCTTAGGAATATCAAAGTGAATTATTTGTTGTCAGGATATCACATCACTGCCTCGAAATACAATAGGAATTAATGATATAGCTTTTGCCCGCAAATTCGATCGCGTGGTATAGCGACTTCCTGCAGAATTTTGGTTTAAAAATTATTCTATATCCTTACTCAAGATCCAAACTAGTTCTAGGTTCTAGGTTCAGTAGTTTAGGCGTGAAGAAAAGACTGATAGACAGAGTTATTTTCGCATTTGTAATATTAGCTTTGATATACCGTAGTTAAATTAATTGTTCATTTTTGTGTTTGTTTGTCAATTTTTCGAGGAAAGCTATAACATATCATGCTACGGGTCCGAGTAGAGGGTGAAACCGCGCAAGAGTAACTAGTTTTTTTTAAATATTTTAATGCATTAAAAAGTCGCAATTGTGTATTTTTAATTCAGTCTAGTATTCAAATAAAGCTTTTTATTATTGTATAATTATATTTTGGATACATGATTACATGCGCCTAAAAAACAGATTCAGAATCAAAGTGATTGTAAGTATGTGGGTACCTACCTACAATCATTCGGTGAAGGTAAACATCGTTAGGAAACCTAACCAACCCGCAGTGAGCAAGCGTGGTGATTAATGCTCTAACCTTCTCCGTATGAGAAGAGGTCTTTGCTCAAGAGTGGGCACTTATAGGCTGATGATGATATTTTTGATACTTACATAATTATATGTGTCTAAGAAACAGATTCAGAATCAAAGTGATTTTAATTGGTAATTTGATCATTTATGAATAATAGCTACGTAAGTAAGTCTATATTTTACTAGTCATGAGGTAATTAGGGACGACCATATTACCAAACACCGGGCTCTCGACTTAGATAAACAAAGTACAGTCAAGCGCAAAACATGTATGTGTTCTAAGAACAACGACCCACAATTATTACGTTGTTTAGTGGACCTTTTCTCAGAAACACTGATTTGCAAATGACACGCGTTTTCAGGAACGTGTAAGTGACGTGTAAAACAAATATCACCGTTAACGAGCAAAGCATTGAACCCGGGACCTTTCAGAATGGTGTAACGTAACAAGTCTGAATGTAGTTTATTGATAGTTTTAATTGGCAAGTTTGGAGATCATGGCTATTTGCAACCATGTAGATATTAGGTGTAGAGTTGTGAATCAGCTCCTTTATTACGTATTGTAGGTTTATAGCCGTGCACTACATTTTGGAGCAATCTATACTAATTGATAAACGGGATAAAATTTGTAAGTTTGTAGGTTATGTTTGGGGGTAATCTTTGGAACCGCTGGTCGGATTGCTGAAATTCACTAATAGATAGCTACAATGTGCCTGAGTGCTATAGGCTATAAAACATCACGCTACGATTAAAAGGAGTCGAGCAGCGGGTGAAACCGCAAGAGAGTAGCGAGTAGGTTATATTTGGAATAGAGTTTCTTTTTTGACTTTGACTTTGATAAAGTTTAATCTTTTTATGTGGTATATTATTGACTGACAGGTAAAGCATGTGTTTGGGCATCAAGTCCGCCTAAAATATGATTTCTTTTAAATTAAGTCAAAACATCAGACTTTTTTCATACGGTTTTAAAGACTTTCAACGATACTTTACTGATTAAAATATCTTGTGACGTCATAACGTAGGACCTATATTTTTCATGAAATTAAATAATGATATCAGTTTCTTACTAAGCAGAGAAATAAGAAATGTCATGGATATTTTCCTCCTTAAAAGGGTGTTGTTTTTTATTACTATAGCTTCCATCTATTTATCCATTATATTTCCAACATTCGTAGTGATCTTTCACTTCTAAACTTAAATTTATCTAAGTACATACCTGCAATTTTCTTCTTCTTCTAAAAAAAATATTCTATTATAAATGTGAAAGGACGTTTGATTTTACCCGCGCAAAAAACGTCTGGATTTATACGTAGGCTGGATTTTATCAACATACCACGCGGGCGAAAGCTGGTGTTTATTATTATGTCAGATTGAATAGATTTCTTATTTTTATAACCTGTCACCATCCTCATTCCCGGGTTTTCTTCGGAGAACTTCTAATTTTAAATGTTAAAAACATTTACAAGTTCTCGTAACATATAAGGAAAATCTAATGTTGACTCTACCTACCTTTTCAATTTTAGACATTGTTAGTGTCTAATGTACATTACGTCATAAAAATATTATTATTGTGATTTATTAAGTCGTAAACCTTAGTTAAAATTTACCTAATATTAATTCTATTACTTTTTTACCTCATGGTAAGCAATCAGCAATCCGCACCCGCAAGGAGGAGTTACGAGTTATATCATTATAGGGATTACGGATTTGGAGATTTAGGGATTGAGGAAGGATTGGGGGAGAGGGAGGATTGGGCCTCCGGTAACCTCACTCAAACGGCGAACTATAAAGCTGTGGTTGTGAATTAGTAAGACCTATAATAATTTATCTATTCGTAGACAATTAATATGTGTCTATATATTTAAGTTAAAATTAGCCTTAATATTATGAGCTAGACTACAACAGGTAAATCAATGTTGCCCATTATTGAGCATGACCAACTATTTTGAAATAAATATAGCAAAATAATTTAATACCGAAAATAATGATGAATAATTGTTTTACAAAATTAATGTTATAACTTAAGTTAAACCTATCATTGGATGACGTCACGCCTTAAAACCCCCAAAGGGGTAAGCAGAGTCGTATGTATCTACTATAACATCCACTTTTAAAATGTTGTTGTCATAATGACTCGACTTACAGACTAAATGTAAATTTTATTTCACATTTTGATTTTCTTTTATGTCATAAGTGCGTTTACAAACATACAAATTTACATACACAAGTCACCCAAACCCGAAACAACAATTTGTAAATCACACAAAGTATTTTTCTGTGTGAGAATCGTACCTGCGACACGTTGCCCAGCCACTGACATAACAAGTATAGTCAAATAGTTAAAATATTAACTAATATATTCATAAAATGAATCAACTCAACGCTACGAGAACATATTAATTGACAGGTCAGCCACAACCTCTCAACATTGATGCATCTCCGAAAATATTATGACGACTATCTCGTCTCAGTATCATACAATATGACTGTCTTGGATCTCGTAACGAAGTCAATCAGTTGATATTATAGGAGAAGGAAGGATTAAAAATGTTTCCACTTCTCTCAAAGAATATAATGCAAGAAGCAAAATGACTTAAGACTCAACGTCAAAAAGAGATACCACGGAAAAGTGAGTCTTATGTGTGAGTTGTTACAGTTTTCAGTATGGCAACAACGCCTGAATGCACGAAGTTATAGGTCCATATAAAAAGAACTTCTGAGGGTTTACCGTGACGTGTTAAAGCGCGAATCTTCCGGGCGAGAAAAAGGGATGGAGCTATAAGGTGTATAGCTCCATCCCTCTTTCTTAATTAATTGAACTTTTAAAAATAGTATTATGATCATATTGGCACACTAAGTTTCCAAGGCCTATGGTTGCGGGTCAACCGCAATTAAAACACCGCGGCTCAGAAACCTCACCCTGGCCCGCCGCAGGAAAATAAAAGGAGTGACTATTATACAGTAAATGTTTGACTCTCCCTCTCGCCTAGATTGTTGATTTTCCATCCTCCAAAAAAAAGTTGGTATGGTCTGTAAGAAATTGGGTAACCCAGACTCCCAGACCTTACGCAGACTCTACCCTATTATGTATAGGGTAGGGTACAATATAATAAACAAACAGCTTGGATTGATTAATGAAATGGTTTCACACGAATTGCAAATACGATTTACATTAATTATAAGATTAACGTTAAACATAGGTTGATAAAATATTTGAGTATAACGATCCACGTTCGTATTCCTTCTAAACATACCATGAAAGCCTTTTTTCAGTATAAATCTTCACCAAAACAAATATGGTTTTAAGTTAAAATATTAAACACACAGAAAGAACGGTAAGTTATCACTTATTTCCTGTTTAAATAAAGGGTTATTTAGGTAGAGTTTTCTAAATGTACCTACGTTTCAACTGACTACTAGATCAAATTGGACAATGATTTATTATTAGAATAAATATTTTAAGAAAGTAAAGCAATAGTATACAAAAACAACAAGCTTACACAATAAGTTATAAAATCAATTTAAAGTTGTAAAAATCTATAAATAGGTACGCTTATTATCACATGTTCTCATCATCAGAAAAAATAGACATGTCTGAATGAATGAATCCAAACTCTTTCAAATCCATTTTACTTGAAGACTAAAGATTATTGCTTCAGCAACCTTTTAGTTCCAACATCAGGCATAATACAATTATACCATATTATTGTATGGTTATTCTACATATAAGTATGTAAGTACGTAGCTTCCGACAGCCGCTTAGCACGCGTTTAAAAGTAAAGTATCCCAGGATTTATAAAAAAACAGTGTTTAAAGCGATAGTTCAACTAAAGTTCCAAGTATTAACTTACAGCCTATAACACTCAGGAATATTGTAGCTATCTACCAGTAAAAGAATTTTGGAAATCCGACAGCGGTACCTAAAATAACCACACACATACAAACTTAAAAATTATGCCTCTTTATAATAATAGTATAATTTTGGCAGTCTCATCATAATAAAGAAAGTGTGTTTAATTTCATTTCACATTCGATTCGTCCTAATAAAAGCGAACAAACAAACAATAACTCACCAATTTGCAAAAACTTCCATCCAAAATGGCGAACACAATTAAAAACACACAAAAACACTTCATTTTTATAGTGACGTAGTTACCAATGTAAATTGTGACCGTATGTCCAGAATGCCTAAGCTGTACTAAGCTTTGCAACAAGTCCTAACCATCAGAATACATACGACAGACAAATCAGAAGGTTCATTGCATGAAGAGGAAAAAATATGTTTGATCACGACTCATTAATAAATACTTACATTTCATCGCCAATTGTTAGCGATTATAGTATGCAAATACGTCGATTCGTTTGGAGTGATACCACGACTTAGCAGAAAACCGGCGTTAAATAACGCTTGCGTTTTGTTGTGTCATTTGGGTGTATGTTCATCGCAGGCCCAATCCACACATCACACCAAACTTTGTACCACGACCCGATCTTGAAATCTCTTGCCTTCAAAAAGCCAAAAGCGTACCTGTAACTTCTCTTGTATTTACAGGTTCTATAAGCCCATTTGCTGACTTTTACCAAAATAAAATTGTAAGTAGTTAATAACGAAAATAAAAAATATATTTATGTGAGTTTCTAATGATAACAGCCTTTCTCGTTTTTCGAATATTCGATAGTCAACTGTAAAATGCATGACGAAAAAGTATTTATGATTTTTCAATCCTGAAATTTTGTCTGTTATATATTTAATGGTATGTAAAACAATCAAAAGTTTCCAATACACGAAGTAAAATAAAATAGCGCATTCAAATAAAATAATGTAGGTAAGTATTTGTAAAATGGGGATAATTTTCGTTGTACCTAATAAGTAACAGATTAACAATGTATCACTTAAATAAACATTTCCCTTTACCTGCACAGATTTTATTGCAGCTTTTTCCCAATTAAATATTCTATGATTTTAAAACTATGCATTAGAAACGGTGTTGAATTTTAAATTTTGCAAATATCACCTCGACGGTGATTTCTTATGCATAACACCGCTGTCATACCGTGAAGGAAAATATCGTGAGAAAACCTGAACTTATATAATTGTAATATAAGTTTTAAATCTGGAATCTCTTCTATTATAAATCTGGAATCGTTGCTGAGCAAGGTCAATGAGGAATTTTATTTTGTGGAAAATTATCCAATGACTTCTCCCGCCTTCGACGGGAGAATGGTTCTGGTCTTACGATAACTGACAAAAAACTATCCTGCTCCACCACTGAATCTGAGCAGGCCGGGGCTGTGATATATAATTGTGCTTACACCCGCTACCACGGGGCACTGGCACACACAAGCATGATGTGCCTTCGATCTGACTCGTGCCTTCGTGCTCTTTTGCCTTTTGCGCTGCGACGCACTATGGGTTTTTTGTGTGTGTGTACCTGTATTCTTGTTATATGTCGTGGCGTAATAAATGGTTTTTCTTTCTTGGTTTTCTTTCTATGTGGTATAACGTGGGTGATAATGATGGGCGAGATCTTAGAAAAAAAAATTCAAATAAGGATTTGAAAAAAGAATTGAAAAGGTACAAAATGAAACTTCTGTATTTATGTACACAATGTAAAATTCATGTGGGCCATATAACAGTATTATGTATTATTACTTAGTAAATTATCGGCCGTTACATGAAACTAACAATTAAAGTCTTACAATATTGTTTATTTATAGATATTTACAATGGTTCATTTTTTGTGAGGGTAGATCCATCAAATGATTTCTATGAGCCAGGGGGAGACGAAGTTTTCAGTAATGGCATTATCTTTATATAGGTAGACACACAGCAACATACTAGCTTACATGAAAAATAAAAGCATAAATTGGACAAAAAGATTTTTATGTAACATTTGATTCAGATATGTTCAGCACTTTTTACATTAAGTTCAATCGTTTATACATCCATTTATCTATAGTAATACATATTTTCCAACTTTCGCTATTATATTAAGTGTGGGAGAGCCATGCTTAGGCACGAATTGGTCGGCTCGACCGGAGTGATACCACGGCCTCACAGAAGACCGGCGTGAAACAATCACAGCGTTGTGTTTCGCCGCGTGAGTGAGGTTACCGGAGGCCCAATACTTCCCTGCTCCCGATCCCTCCTCAATCCCTAAATCTCCAAATCCCTAATGCCTAAAAGGTCAGCAACGCACTCGTAACTACTCCGTTGCGGGTGTCCATGGGCGGCACTGATTGCTTACCATCAGGTAATCAGTCTGCTCGTTTGCCGACCAATTAAATATAAATAAACATAAAAAAATATGATATTAGTAAAACAATTGTGTTGCGTGGGAGAGCCATGCTTCGGCACGAATGGGTCGGCTCGATCGTTGTGATACTACGACCTTACAGAAAACTGGCGTGAAACAACCACAACTTTGTTTTTTGTGAGTTACTTTGCTTTGCTACTGGAGGCCCAATCCTTTCAGTCCCCCAATCGCAAAATTTCCAAGTCCCTAATCCCCAACAGGCCGGCAACGCACTCGTAACTCCTCCGTTGTTACCATTAGGTAATTCGTCCGTTCGTTTATCGACCTAACATAACTTCTATTCGTTCGACAAGAATAATTCTGCATAATTCTATTCACGCAAAACTATTGACTTTTATTCCGACTTAAGAAATACACATATGTGCCCAAGTAAGCAACTTTTTGTCAGATAAACTTACGACCTTGAGAAAGATTAGGATTTTATAAAAATAACAGTAACCGTTTGTTTATCGTACTGATGTATTTTTAAGGATTATATATGTTTCGGAGTGTTCTAACGAAGTGAATGCTTTAACCTTCTCCGTATCAGAAGAGGCATTTGATTAGCAGTGAGCACTTATAGGCTGATGATGATGATGATCTTTCGGAGTGATAAATAAATAAAATCTCCAAATCCCTAATCCCTAAAAGGTAGGCAAAGCACTCGTAACTCCTCCGTTGCGGGTGTCCATGGGCGGTGCTGATTGCTTACCATCAGGTAATCCGTCTGCTCGTTTGCCGACCTATTAGGTACATAAAAAAAAGTCAAGCAAAAACGGCTTGACCAATTTAATTAAAATTTGTTATGTAGATGTAGATAGGTGATACCCTGAATTTACGCATACGGTACCTTTTGTTACCATCCCACGTAAGCGAAGACACGGGCGGAGGCTAGTATGTTATAAATCAAATTTTGTACTTATTACATAGATTTTTTATACGTGGTAGTGCGGCAAAAGAACACACGGATTACCTGATGGTAAGCAATCGCCGCTCATGGACTTCCTTTTGGGAATTAAAGAGTTGGATATTTAAGGATTGAAGAAGAATGGAGGATTGGGAGGCTTGGGTCCACGGTGACCTCAGTACCTTGAATTTGGTTCAGTAGTTATCTATTATATTTTTTTACTTAATACTTGAAAAAACTGAGGTTTAAAATGGCAAATCGATGTAAAAATTTCTTATTTCTATTTCAGGTGCACTTAACTCTCTTCTTTTAACCACACTACGTGACAAAGAATGCACTCTTAAATAAGCAAATGATTAAGAAATGACGACAAATAAAGTTAAATCAATTGCATGATGACTTAATATTTCATAGAAATACTGAATCGGCTTCTTGACATCATTCACAATAAAACGTGATCTTAAAATCTGATACATGATTAATTGATTCTACTAAATACGAGTATTACAAAGTCTATCATAGTTTGTATAGACCAGAGCAATGACGTGGTTAATCTTAAGCTGATAGCAGAAAAGGTAAACTTGTAATCACTCTTATTTTCAAGAGCAGAAGCGCTGTGCTTCGTCCTGTCAGTGTGGGTAACGGAGAATCAAGCTTGGACGTGAGTAGCTTGGCTCGGAGTGATACCACGGCCTCCCAGAAAACCGGTGAAAAAAGAACATAGCATTGTGTTTTATCGTGTGAGTAAGGCTACCGGCGGCCAAATTGTTCTACTCTCTCCATCTCTCCCAAATCCTTTAATACCCAAAACCCTAATATCTAAAAGGCTGGAAACGCATTCGTAACTGCTTTGGTGTTTCCTCACCATTAAATTTTAAATCCCTTATCGTCTCCAACATGGCACTCACATTACGCATATTGACAATCCAAAAGAATGCCTCTATATAAACTCTATGTAATGTATGTATGTAAAAGTAATAAAAAAAGATTTGATGGTTCAATTTGGGATTCATTCTGTGTTCTGAGAATTTTAGTAACTGCCGACTATTTTTGAGTACCTATTGTCTAGTGAGACGAAAAATAAAATTAAAAATTGAGACTTCTGCATATATAATTATTATTTGAAACCAGATACAGAATCAAAAAAGACGTAAGTACCTACATAAATGAGAATAGCCGTCCAGTTCTCCAGGGAAAGTATAAAGAATATCTTTGTCCTTTGTAGGGGAGAATGAAACCGTTAATAAGACAAGACGTCTAGAACTATTTTCTGAGTTGCAGTTAATAACTTGAATATATAATGTGTAGGGATGTATAGATGGAGAATGAGTCATTGACCTTCGAGCGTTCGACTTTCAATTATAGCAATAGTTCTTTTGTCAAAGATTTAGATATTAGCTACCCGCCTCGGCTTTGCACGGGTGCCATGCTAATACAAATTTTCTCTTTGATTCAATGGATGTTGTTATACTTACATATAAACTTTTTTTCCGTGGAGTGAAAGTCGTCAAATGACTTTTCTCGCCTAGGGTATGACGATAGGGAGTGTCAGATTCTTTCTTACTGACTCAACCCCCGTTCTTTCTTCTCTCCAAGCCGAAGCCGCGGTACCTAATAATAATTGTGCTTGACTCGCGGATACATATAAATCAACCTCTTCAATCACTCTATCTATAAAAGACAGCTGCATAATACGTTGCGTATTTTTAAAGATTTAAGCATAACTACATAGGGACAGAAAAAACGACTATGTTTTGTGCTATGCAGTGATTTATACCTAATATTACTAAGAAAAGTTGTGTCACATCGTGTAGATACCTTGTGTAAACATAATTACAATACCATATAAAAATGTTTTATTTATTAATGTAATCTCTTGTGATTTTAGGAACGTTTTGTTAACACTAAAATAATCCAGCTAATCTAAATTAGGCCAAACACAACTTCCAGGAAATGTGTTATCGTATTAAAAGTTAGTTTTTTTTATGATTTTGTTTAAATTCAAATATCAATCCAGTAACTAAAACTGACTTATCTGGCTTCCTTTAATCCATAATAGTTTAAGGTATTGTATGAACATTTTGATAGCACTATTAAATTTTGCTTTTTTTGTCGTGGTGGCCTCATGAATGAGACATGTACTAATGTGGCTTTTTCCGAGTGATATGTACTTTCTATGATTATTTAGACACCACTGGCATACGGTGAAGGAAAACATCGTGAGGAAACCTGGACTTATGAAGTTTGAAATCGCCAATCCGCCTTGAGCAGGCGTGGTGATTAAAGCTTAAACCTTCTCCGTGTAAGAAGAGGCTCTTACTCAACAGTGGGCACTTATAGCCTGATGATGATAAAATTTTCTAAAATAAAGTAGCATCGCCGCGAATGTGGCAATTACTGCTCATCCTTCTAAATACACAAAGGTTTGATTGGTGCTGCAATCAAACCCACGATACGTTACACGGCAGCCGTTTACTCAGCCACCACGCCAAATTAATTAACGTGTAAGCCTATAGTTTAAAATTCTGTCGTACACTGAACAAATGAAATATATGAGAAATATTTTAGCATAATCATTATTGACCTACCTACTTAATAGTTTTTATAGATAATTATAAACATAGACAACGTCAATACATTGTAACTTTTTGTCTATGTTTATAGTTCATGTGTGATTTACAACTAGGTATGACATAACGATTTTGCGAGAATAATGTATTGTGGGTATTCGTTACTTGGAAATTATTTGCTTTAGGTACTAAGGTATGTACTCGTATCACATGACGTAATATTCAATTTATGGTTTTATGTTTGTCATATTTATAATAAGCTGCAGGTAAATCAAAACAATATAATTTTGTGTAACAATAGCTACGGTCTATGAGTCGACATTTATTTATTTACCCGCATACTAAATTACTTTACAGACTATTCGTTCGACTGTTCGGCAAGGATTAGGCATCCGATAACTTCAGTGACGTGCCGAAACACAACGTTAGTTAACGTTAACGGCGAAACATAGCCCATTCGTGGTCGTATATATACTATATACATATAATAAGCTTGTAGTATCATCACTACATAGTATACCGTGTCTCTGCAAATTAACATTTAATTTAATTTAATTTTAAAACAAAGTCTGGTTTTTCTGTCCTATAACCTATCCCTATGTGTGCTTAAATCTTTAAAAAATCGCAACAGATTTCGATTTAAAGTATTGAATAGGAAACTTTGTGTGTAAAAACATCCATTAAATAGTGGAAAAATATAGTAAGTATCAGAATTGCACCCGTGCAAAGCCAGAGCGGGTTGTATCTAATACTTATAGGAAATTATTTGTTCTATACATCTTATACCATAAATGAAGCAGAACTTTATAATAATATATGACCCGTATAAACGTGTATAAATGTGAAATCACTGGTCATACGATTACAATGTACGTAGTTATAGTTCAAATGTTTTTAGCTACTGGTTGCTACGTTTTGCTGGTTTTATTCCCGCACGGAACAACGCTTTGTGTGATCAAAACGTTTTTGAATAGTTTAAGTGTGATAGTCGTGAGACATACTCAATTTATTGAAACCTAGCTTTTGCCCGCGACTCCGTTCGCGTGGAATAGTGACTTTCTGCAGATTTTGGTGTTAAAACTATTTTATGTCCTTTTTCAAGTTCCAAACTATGTCTGTACCAAATTTCACAGACATCGGTTCAGCAGTTTAGGCGTGAAGAAAAGACAGACAGACAGACAGAGTTAATTTCGCATTTATAATATTAGTTTGGATTACTCACGCAAAATTAACTGAGGAAAGCTCTACTAGTTTCAAGTCAATTCACGAAAGTAATTCGTTATTTCCATTAGATCGACAAATTGTTGTTGCGAGTCTGAGTGTGGTGTGTAAGTATGTGAATATTGTATATTTGTTGTAACGTGCTCACGACAAAGTTCGAAGAATCGAGTACTTTTTTTTGTTTCTGTCTGGGGAAAATCATCAAATGACTTCTCCCGCCCAGGGTGAGGTAAAATCGAGTTCTTTTTTTTTTCTCAAGTACCAGTCGTTTCTCAAGTACCAGTCGTTTGATACTAACAATCGTGCAATAATCACTCGACGGTCGCTATCGTAAGTTGTATTCTAAAACTATTCACTAACTTCCTTAGTACTCAGAAGAACTTTACAAGATTAACTGTGTCGAATTATTAACTGACGCAGTTAAAATAACTGTAATTCACAAGCTCAGTTATACCTTGAGGTGATGCCATGAATCATAGTTATGTTGTGTTGGTTGATCGATGGGAAGAAAAGATCTAGGTTATAATTGGCGATAACGTTACTGCGGGATCTTTTTTGCTTAAGTTCCTACTAATGTCGTAGTAATCTGGTAAGTACCAATGTAACTTTTGCCAAGTTTTATATACTTTCTATGATTATTTAGACAAGACTGACTTACGGTGAAGGATAACATAGTGAGAAAATCTTGACTTGTAATTTTTAATTATAAGTTTGAAATCGCTAATTCGCTTTCAGCAAGCGTGGTGATTAATGCTCAAACCTTTTTCGTGTGAAAAGAGGCTTTTGCTCAGCAATGGGTACTTATAGGTTTTTTTCAGGGGATATTCATCAAATTACCTCTCCCGCTCAGGGTAAGGCGAGAGAGACTGACAGACTCTTACTGACAAAAAAAACCCCGTACCTTCTCCTGCTCTGGGCCGAGGCCGCGGTGACTTATTGCGCTTAATCCTGGCAGAAAGCCTGGACTCGTATTTTTTTAAATGATAAGTTTAAAAACTCTAATCCACCTAGTTGATTCATGCTCATTATTTTTTATTCCTATTTGCCTTAAACAAATTATATTATGAAACAAATTAAAGAGAAAAAAGTATGAGATTGAACATTTCTGACCACTAAGTACTAAAAAGGAGTCGAGTCAAGTTATTGAAAAGTAAAATAGTTACCGTAATTGGAGTGCCAAATTTGAGACAGACCAACACACATTTTTGCTTTTTTTATCAATCAAAAATATTTTTTATAGGGAATGGAAATATAATACACTGTTTTAGAATTTTAGAGGATTCAAAAAAAATGTATGAAATGATTAAGTAGAATGACGCCTGCGCGTCGCAAAGTTAATTAGTATCTTGTATTAACATTGCTAAGAATGCTTTTACAGGCGTCTTAACGTAACTTAACAGCTCGTGAGAGCTCATTGCTAAATAAAAGCTGCCCTGTCTTCTCTGTCTTCGTAAGTTAATTTATTCACGAATCATCTGATGCTAAGCCATCGATGCCTCCAATGGACAACGCTCTTTTAGGGTTTTTATGAATTTAACGATTGGTTAAGGGCGATGAAAGAACTGGGCCTAAACATTTCACGCCAGTTTATCTGGTATCTCTCCGATCGAGCAGGTCCATACTTGTCGAAGCATGGCTCTCCATCACCTTTATAAGTTTCGCCATAAGATCTTGAGACTGAGCCAGTACGTTTATTGGGTTCGTTACAAATAGTTTAGTTGGTAGTGACTATATTTACGATTCGAAAAGTAAAATAAACAAGAATTACCTCTTATTTATTATATATGGATTCAGCTATAAAAACACACAAACGAGACAAAACAATTTGGCTAAATCAGCTATTTGGAAAAGCAAAGGAAAATATTACTTATCAACTAAGTATATTCCAATTTTTTCATGACATCAGACCTCAGACGTCATCTGAGGGGTACCTTTGTGAAGATGGAGTAATTTGACTGTTATTTATGTTGTGGAAAAGCAATATACATATACATACTTAAAAGTTGACAGCTTTGAAAATCTAAACAACAAATAATAAATTAATGTTTGCAGCGTGGCTAATAAAATAATACCAGTAGGGTACATATATACGCAATTTTACTAGAGATCGTTGCTCAGCCTTCATAGTTCTTTTGTTCTTGCAAAACTTGTGAAAAGAAAGTTAAAAAGTGGTGGTATAGTGTGCCGTCTTTGTCACCATACCTACAGATTAGGAAAATGCAAAAATAAAAGACAAAAATATTTACAAAAGAAGTTTTTAATATAAAAATAATAACTTTAACGACTACTAAACACAGGTACTGGCCACATCGTCCAATCGCTCGGGGACTAAAAAATAACTTATCGCTTAGAATTTTGTTGCTCACTGTACTAGGGTGATGTACAGTCGACGACTTATGTCGTTAGTGATGCTTACTATTAGTTTTAGTTTGCTAGGGAGGTTTTTAATTTTACTTTAGGCTTAGTTTTAGTAACCTGCGTCTGCATCGTAACTGCTTTTTCTGCTTTGGTATGTGCCTGTGGAAAAAGGGGTTAAAATAAATAAAAAATAAAATATAGGTAGTTCACGCTGGCAGAATGAGGATTAGACTATTTTCTATTTATATTCTAAATTATAGACTTCCTCTACACCAAATATATAAGACTGTTGAAATATGTTTAACGATTTTTACGAAAAACCGTGCAAATAATAATGAAACCGAGAGTATATTCTTATCCTTAGTAAAATATAAGCTAAATATAAATTAATATCATTAGTTCCTTATTCGAATTTACGCTGCTGTTTGACGAAATAATTTCTCTGACAATTCGTCGCGATATTACAGGCTATTAAGAATATTGTTATAGAAGTTATAAAAATGCATTTGCTAATTTTAGTTTGAAAATTAAATTAATAGCAAAGTTAAGATAAAGTTATTATAAAGCATAAATAAAGATACAACAATGCTGTAGATATACGATGTACTAATTTCAGTCAAAAAATTTAATAAACATCAATTTAAGAAACGTTCAGAAACTTATTATTTACTAGCTACTCCCACGCGGTTACACTCGCTGCTCTGCCCCATTTGATTGTAGCGTGATGTTGTATAGCCTATAGCACTCGGGAACATTGTAGCTATCAAAAAGTGGAAGAATTTTGGGAATTCGACCAGTGGTTCCAAAGATTACTCCCTACATACAAACTTAAAAATTTAATTAACCTCTTTATAATATTAGTATAGATATCAGATACCTTGAGTACTGTCAATGAGTTGCAAACTCTTCAAGATCTCAGCAGGTATGGGCGGTGGGGTGGGGAGATGAGCTCCTTCAGCGCGGTAACCATTCTCATCAGCTGTGTAGGTGACGGTGTACGTCTGGCCATCATCACCAACATAGGAGTAAGACCCTGAGACTGTGAGGGAACCTTCTTCGGGCTGGGCACCGGGGTACACACGACCTGGAATTAAATAAGCAGTATTGTTGTTTATTTATGTGTGGAAGAGCAATGCTTCGGCACGAATTTTACGGCTACCGGAGTGATACCACAGCCTCACAAAAAACCGGCGTGAAACAACGTTGTGTTTCGCCGTGTGACTGACGTTACCGGAGGCCCAATCCTTTCCCCTCTAAATCCCTTATCCCCGAAAGGCCGGAAAAGTACTCGAAACTTTTCCATCGTTGTAGGTGTCCATGGACGGCGCTGATTGCTTACCATCAGGTAATGCGCTGGCTCGTTTGCCGACCTATCATATAAAAAAAGTTCTGCCAAATCAGTCATAATTTATGCATTTCTTGACTTACGTTCAATCGAACTTAAGCAGACGTGATTTAAAAAACAGCAGCGTTTAAAGCGATAGTCCGACTAAATAGATAATTATAAGTAGAAGGTATAATTTATAACTCAGGAACATTATAGCTTTGTATCAGTGTTAGAATTAAGGAAATTCGACTAGTGGTTCCAAAGATACATACAATCTTACAAATGTTACCTCTTTATAAAATTAGAATATGTAGATTGGCAAACGACAGACATCCATTTGGTATCATTACACCGTTGTACTATACTACTAATCCATAGCTTTTACTAATTTTGAACTTCAAACTTTAATAAGGTTATCCTTTATTAAAAATCAAAACATTTATTAAAACTCAACCATAGAGGTATAGGTTTTTGATACGTTAAAAAAAGATGGACTTAATACGTCAGGCGGCCCGTCAATGAAGCTGAGTGCTCGTTCCAAATTGTAGATTCGTATGGAGAATAACGAGCAAGAAACTCCATCCTTGATTTTATATAATTATTATGACTAAGATATAGTTATTATAAACATATTCAAAATTAATATTAAATGACCAGACAGCGTGTAAAACTAACGGATTCTAGGACACAACAATATCAATAATAAAGATGACTTATGTACAAAGAACAAACAACAAATCAAAAACCCCTTTTACTTATCCAAGTTACACATACTTGTACATTTCGACACACAAAACTATTCACTTTGATTGGGTAAAACAAACAATAATATGTTATGTTACGTTGTCATGTCAAATGTCAAATGTTCAGAGTGTAAGAACAAAAGGCAATTTGTTATTTTAGATCTGGTTACTAATGGTCATTAACATTTGACTGAGAGTGTATGATATTATAACCTAAATTACACGCGTGTTACTAAGTAATTTGCTGAAGACTTTAAAGATGGTTTTCCGTTTTTTTTAAGTTTTTTTGAGGGACTAAAATTAGGCAATGATTTCACCCACCCTGTGTGGTGCGAGTCTGACACTCTCGTGTCAGACAATTACTGGCTGGGCCACCGCGTTTCTTTTTAGACTCCGGAGCCGTGGTAATATAGTTCTATGTACTTTATGTATGTTTATATAAACCTATGTTATACTATTCTATTTCGGTTGCTTCTTGCATCTACTACTGGATTCTCTGCATCACCCAAAGGTCGACTGGTAGAGAATGATCAATGCATTAAGTCCGCCTTATGTACATACAAATTGTGCATGAAGTATAAATAAATAAATAATATAGGTATATTTGAGTTGCTTTCTCGATAATGAGTTCCTTTTTTATTTATCAGGGAAACCAACAGATATTGTATTTAGGGAAAATTTATACTTGTAAAAAGTTACAAGCTAAATGAAAAACTAATTACTGGCACACACCATGACTTTAAACTACTTAAATACATATTTCTAAAATTAAATATAACATGTAGAACCATCTATAGAATTGTAGGTAATATTTGATAAAGGAGTTATTGTGTAGATGCGTCGATTTATCCACTGCATTGATTATATTGCCAATACAAATAATCGATATGGGAAAATTTTGGCCGAACACAGTCCTTCGTGCGGGAAAATAGGCTAATGGCATATCGACGATTCCGACTTGGTACTCTAAATCGTATTCTGTTAAGAACTTTAGGGCAATGGGCACTTGGTGGTAAAAATTTTGTAAAAAAAAATAACAAGTTTTCTCTGTAAGAAGTCCAAATGAATAAATAAACAAATAAGAAATGAGCTACTAATTTAAAAAAAAACGGTGTAAGCACGAAGTGAATAAATAGGTAACTAGTAAAATCTATATCATTCTGTTGATTTTCTGCTTACTTCTTGGAGTAAAGAAACATTGAATTTTATTACTAGTACTTAAGGTTTACATCACTGCTGTACATGGTTTAAGTTGGTGCGACTAATTCTATTTTATTGAAATCGAGCGTAGGTATATATCGACCTTCGTTCTAAAAAGTTGTAAATAGTAAGTACCTACTTCTAATAAATCCTGTAAATAATTTTACGACCTACGCTTGAGAATCTTTCGAATGTTAATAGTAACTCAGTTGTTAATTATTTTGTATATGTTTAGTTAGTTACCAATAGGTATATATCTGATATACTGTATTTCTTTTTGTAGAGAGATTCAAAAACAGAAAAGATAACGACTTATTCAAGAAAATAACTGATAGTAACTAAATTTTCAATATCAAACAATAATAAGAACAACGGAAAAGGTCAAACGCAACTGAACCAAGTCACAGAGGAAACCTATGCTAATTTTTTTTTTTTTGTAGTCCCTGATTATATTAGGATGAGATATCCTTAATTAAATATTGAAAATAAGGAATTAGTGACGTGTATTACCTCTAAAAAGCTGTACTAGTTTCAAATGAGGATCACAACGGGACTATTATAGAAACTAGTAGAATTTTTCTTGGAGTAAAACGTATAGGTAGGAAACATTCAATTTTGTTACTAGTATTTAAACTAAGGTGAGAAAGTCGTTTTCTTCAATAAAAAAGTAACCCACCTTGCTGTTCGGCCTTGGTACCATCACTGGTCTCAAAAGCATAATGGTACCCTTCCTCGTTGATCTCATTTTCGTACTTCAGTATTTCGGCCTGGTTTCCACCATTTGCCTGTCCTCCACTATAGGCTGATCCTCCGTAAGGAGTTTGGAGACCAGCGCTAGCACCACTTGAAGATCTTGCGTTGGGAGGCAGGATGACATTGTCGAGGCGAGCTGATGATGCTGCCGAGACCAAGGCTAATACGATGAACTGGAATTGAAATTTAGTAATTATTTTTAGTACGTGTCTCAGAAGTATACTGGAATATTAATGGGATCAATCTATTAATCCCATCTCAAAAAAATCTGCAATGATACTCCCTGATTTACATAAAAGTTTAACACACTTTGAGAAAAAAAACCGATATCATTAAGAATTAATAAGTGTATCAAAGTGTTTTAATGTGGCTTAGTCTAACTTAAGCCTAGTCTATAAATGGTTTAGTTATATCGACGTGAAGATTTAGTTTCGAATTTAGTTATATCGTCATAAATAAACAACATTGTAATCCCAATTAAACATCGTTATCAGTGTTTTTTTTATCATTTTGCATTTATGTAGCTTGTTATTGCTAGCTTTGACAATATCTCAATGTATATCTTTAACTTCCAAGAACAAAATGTCTTCCAGTAAAACTAACCTATAAAATCCACGAGTACCCATCCTAACTTAGTTTTATGGTAAACGTCAGCTGATTGAGGTGAAGGTGAGGTCGGGGGAACGGCTAAGGTTTTGAATGTGACCCTAAAGCACTTCGGTCACGATCACAGGCTGGTATGCCTAACCTTATAGAAAAGTATGGAAGCTAGTTAGAATTTTAATAGGGCTTAAATAATGTCGAGGATAGCAAATTGTTAGATATACAAATTGTAAAGATTTTTGTGATCAATAGTAAAAAAAAATAGAATAGAACATTCTATATTTATTATAAGGAACCTTTATGGAGAAAATGTTGCTGCTAGATATAATTCATAAAGATAAAAAAAATACATTTTAGCTTGAAGGTTTTAACTGAGAGAGCTTTTGGCTATTTACATTATCACGTACATTGCAAGAATACAGGGTAAATTTGATTTTTGTCCCAAGAATCAAACGCTTTCAACGATTCTGGGAATTGCAATCGCGAGAATTAAAAACTTCGTCAAAGTAAATTAACAATTGAAGTTGTCCTATATATTGAAAATTTAAAGGCAAATAGGATCATTTGGATCGTTTTCTAACCAAAGCAATTTAGTAATTTGTAGGGATTGCTTCATTTTTGGATGAGAATGATCCTGCCTTCCGTCTGTTGTCTGCGGTCACCGTGTCATAACGTAATAAAGAATCGTCACACCAACAATATTGTGGTGCGTCAGTGCGGTTGCGTTTAGAAGCTTTGATGAGGAAGCTTGGGGAGTTGGGGCATTTTCGAAATTTAGCGGTCTGTGATGCATTACGCCTTTTTTAACCCAAAAAGAAATAAACTTAAGGAGTATTATCATGAATTAATTCGCTTAAGTCATTCTATCTCCTGCACTAAATTTAACAAAGGGAAGAGGAAACTATGTAGTTTGTTTTTCTCCTCAAATAAAATCTTCCGATTTATTTGGTTGTTTGGGATCAAAGACTGTCATTCCGAACTTTAGTGCCTCGATTTTTAACCGACTTCCAAAAAGGAGGATGGTTCTCAATTTGACCCTATATATATGTTTTTTTTATGTTTGTTCGCCGATATGTCCGTTATTCATGAACCGATTTTGATAATTCTTTTTCAATGCTATTATCCAATGCTGTTTGATTGATTCTGTGGTTTTCGAGTTGCACAAATTTTTATCTTATGATTTTTCAATTTCACATACCTACCTACAATAGGGGTGTATATTTCTATTAAGAAATTATAAGACAGGTGTTTTAGTAGCAATCTGTTAAAAAAAATCTACATTTATAATACACTAGCTACTCTCGCGCGGTTTCACCCGCTGCTCAGCTCCATTTGATCGTAGCGTGATGTTTTATAGCCTATAGCACTAAGGAACCTTGTAGCTATCTATCAGTGAAGAATTTTGGCAATCCAACCAGCGGTTCCAAAGATTATCCCCTACATACAAACAATTTTACCTCTTTATAATATTCGTATAGATAGAATGCTGAATAAGGTAAAATATGTATTGCATGATATGTTTGGAAGAAGTTATTTCAAATAAATAAAATGGAGCTTGCAAATAACGACATTGTGAAAAGTGACAACACAAATCATTCAATTTAATGCCTTCTAACCTTGTCAATTAAATACATATTTGTACAACAAATTGTCTAACGGAGCTAATCGTAGATGAGATTAAATCTTCTCTTATGTAAATATAATGTAAGCGTTCGCTAACATGTGAACTTATGATGATGATTACATTAAAATACTTGTTATATACATCTTCAGTCAAAACATTTGAACCAGAAAGGTCATACGAAGATCTTTAGCAAGATCTGTCGCATCTTTATTTTTTTTACACAATAATACTGAGCTTTTATTAAGTTATGAACCAGAGTGTAGTCGACAGGCTGCCGAGGCTTTCTGTTATTTTTGAGGGGGGAAATCATCACATGACTTCTCCCTTCTTGGATGGGGAACCAACGGAACGGGTTGGTTCCCCATTAGTTGGTTCTTTGTATATGGAATGGATCGGAACGAGCTGATGGATTAGCTGATGGTAAGCACTCAGCGCTGCCCATGGACATGTAATCTCAAAGGAGTTACGAGTGCGTTGTCGGCCTTTTAGGGATTAGGGTTTCAGATATTATATAAGGATTGGCAACGTGGTAGTGGCCCAGGGGTTAAGGAGCCCGCTTCTCATGCATGAGGGTGTGGGTTCGAAACCTGGTAAGTACCAATGTGACTTTTTCCGAGTTATATGTACTTTCTATGATTATTTAGACACCACTGCCATACGGTGAAGGTAGACATCGTGAGGAAACCTGGTCTTATAATCTCTAATTATAAGTTTGAAATCGCCAACCCGCATCGAGCAAGCGTGGTGATTAATGCTCTAACCTTCTTCGTATGAGAAGAGGCCTTTGCTCAGCAGTGGGCACTTATAGGCTGATGATGATGATGATGAAGGGATGGGAGAGGGGAGGGTTGGGCCTCCAGTAACCTCACTCACACGGCGAAACACAACGCTGTGGTTGTTTCACGCCGGTTTTCTGTGGTATCATTCCGGTCGTGCCGAAGCTTGGCTCTCCCACACTTAAACCCTTCTCCTGCTTAACATCAACTCTATTGGGCCCTCTCTCTGTGGTGGTACTAAAGCCTGCGAGTTAAAAACGCGTCCCAGGCCTGGAGCAGGAAGGGAAGTGATCGGCGGCGGCGACCTCTCGCGCCCGGCCTTAATCGAGGCCATGGTGCAGCGTGAGAGGAACTGGGAAGCTATCTCCTCCTTCTGCGAAGCAGTTATGCTCGCAAAGGAGGAGGCGGAGCGCGTGAGGGAACTATCCTCCTCGCGCCCCAGCCGCCGCAGAAGGCGACATTCCGGACGTCGGGGATCGAGGGATGATCTCCGGCCACCGTAAGCGCGGGTCTGCGGACGGCGAGTAAGGGTAGCTCGCCGCCCGACCAGAACTGGACCCGAGCGTACGGCGCGTAGCGTTCCGCGCGCGCCTCAAAGAGCCAATAGACCACCACAGTCGGGGCCCTAAAGGGCTGATGTTTAGCCGGGGCTGCGGGGTAAGCGCAATGAGGCACCGCGACCTCGGCCCAGAGCAGGAGAAGGAACGGGGGGGTTTTTAGTCAGTAAGAGTCTGACACTCTCTCTCGCCTTACCCTGGGCGGGAGAAGTCATTGGATGATTTTCCCCTGACAAAAAAAAAAAAAAAAAAAAGGCCTGGAGCAGGAGTAACGGATTTTTTTAGTTTTACCCTCAGGATAATATTTTCCATGTTTAGAGTTTACAGCTAAACAGCATAGTGTATAGTATAAATGTGTAGACAATTTCGTGATGAATACAGATCGGCTGTAATACATAAAGGGTCGATACGCGAGTGTTTTTATTAAACATGCTTAATATGCATTGCAAAAATTGACTGAATTACACAAAAAAGAAATGAAAAATGACCTATGTAAAAAATAAGGCTTGATTAGAATTTGACCTAAATTAAGTTAGATATATAAACACTAAAATATCGAATGATTATTATTGATGTTAAATAGAGTGGAAACTGTAATAAAAACGCCTAGCAATATCTTTCAATACAAACAAGTCGATGAAAAAGTTACAAAAGAGTATCGATTATTCGCAACACGACTTGTCATGAGTTTGTGAAGCGATAATTTGTTTCAGTTAGTTTTTTTTTTAAATCTGTGACTGGTCCTGAAGACCTAGTCAACCAAGTAACTTTATTTGAATTTCTTTTAACCGAAGTAAAAAAAAATTTTCATGGAAATACAAAATATTGAAACATTTAATAGGCCGTTAAAATATATGGTTAGTTTTTATGAGCATTTGCCATTATATCTTTTCATAAAGAATTTGAACACTACATTTTTTTGTCAACTTAAATAGTTGTCAAATTTTAATAAATCTTTAAATGTCAGTACTTACAGTTTTTTGTAAGTTAGAGATAAAATTTGTATTGTACCTTATTTTTATAAAAAAAACTTTTGTTTTACATCTTGAATTATATTTTACTTATTGGTAACGCAAATTATTATTATGAAAAAAAAACCTATTTTTTAAATCGGTTGAATTTTTTACATAATAACTTTGCCCTAATTGAATAAAAATTAAAATTGCCACAAAATAAAATGACAATAACGATCGAAACAAAAAAAAAAACAATGCAAAAAATAAATAAAAATCGACGATAAAGCAACGAAATAAAATAAAATTGAAATTGTAAAATTAGACCATCATTCCCTTCACACAGAACTCCCGAAAGGCACAGATTGCGAAAACACTGATAACGTTGTACCAACACTCACTCAAACGACACTTGAAATAGAAAGGTTTGCACTGATATTATTGCTAAATATAAACAAATATGTACAAGAGGTACTAACGAATTTCATAGCTGATGTGTCCTCTAAAGAAGTTACCAGTAAAATGTGTCGGCTAAGTGAATCTGCCGCATTTTATACTCGTCTCAATATTTTGAATGATATACATTCCGAATTGCATTCATAGACAGACTCTTAAACGGAGTCCTTTCAAAACAATTTACGCTTTATGCTCTTCAAGTTTAAGTTCGATTATTCTTTGAGTTATAATGGGGAATTTCTTCGCTAACAGGAACACGTACTTCTGTATGACCTTGGAAGGCATTTGAAGTCATGTTTTGGTACACATATATTTTTTTCGATGATTCCTTCAAAGCAATCTATGCCTTACACTCCGAAAGAAATGGCTTATTTTTTATTGTTCCAGTTTCTGGTCTCAGTGAAATATTTCCATTTTAAACAGGAACAAATAAGTAATATGAAACGACCTTGGGATTCGAAAATTGAAGTCTATGCTTTCCAAGACCTTATAGGCCTAAAGCTGCTGATATTTTTTGGTGTTATTTGGATGTAACTTTCAAAATTATTTATATCAAAATGTTACGTACAGATAATAAGATTTCTTTTAAATAATATTTTTATGTGGTATAAATTTTGTTTTAAATGGTTTTTAAATAACGCATAAATTATTTAGTACATACGGATTGGTTGGTAATAAGCTTAATAAAACTCGTAGAAAACAATTTTATTCAATATTAATATACTTAACTTCTTTAGGTTTCCCAAGGCTTATCCGTTTAAGTACAGTAAAAATATTTAATATTACAAAAAATGAAACGTTCTAAAAACTTATTCTGCTCTATGAACTACTAGAACCTTGATGTTATTTTACTTAAGTATTTTAATGAATAGCATTTTACAGTAAACACTGTAATAATACACTTTTACAGCTAAAGGTTATATTCCATAATAGCTTAAACACTGTTATGAAGTTTGGCTCAACCACTGTTATTTAAAAAGAACATAATTGCAAGGAAGTTCTGAAGATAATTGCATTACAAAAGCTTTTAACGGAGACGTTTAATATCACAACACTTAATAATAAGATGATTCACGATCTTTATCTTCTAACAAAAAATCTGAACAATAGGGATGTTGACTCAAAATGCTATTTTCTGTCCATCAGGTAGACGGATAAATTAAGAATATAGGCCATGTTTTTTTACGGAGAATTGAGTGTCGAAATCGATGTCTTTAGGTTAGGTCAAGTGTATTCATTTAGCTAAAGGAATCAAGTAATCTTCGGATCTTCTTAAAATCATTCGAGGATTTCGTTATCGTCATCATTATGACATCTAGTTGTCAAACTAGTTGTTCACTACTGAAGATGTATACCTAGCCCAATGATCTTTCAGATCGGCTGGTTGGAAGTTACCTGGTTCCAGTCACTCCCTGTGAATTTTTCTAAAGCGTATGATTATCTTGGTAGGTAGATGTTCTGTATTACATTGATATGCTTTTTGGAATTTTACGGCCAGATTTACTCTTATTTTTCTATTTTCTTAGTCAGTTTTCTCAGGTGAAAAGAATTTCTGATTATATTTTTACCCTCCTATATTTTTTGTTTTATATTATGGGACATCCTCCCTAAACTGTTGCAACTCCTGTAAGCCAGGATTTAAATCACACATACAAATATTATCACTTGATTTTTTTCGTTGCGGGATCAAAAACTTTTGTGTTTTGGATTTTTCATTGTTGTATTTAACAACTTATAAATATTTGAGGAGCATAAAAAACGAAAATAAATTCTGATATTTCGGTCAATTTAATGCAGGAGACTGAATGACTTAAGCCTTAAAGACATAAAATAGACTATACCAAAAACCGGATGAATAAGGACCTTTTCCTTATTTATTTTCTTTTACTATACGCCCATATCATCCAACAGCAAATATTCGATTATAGCCACTAAAATACATGCATATGGTTCATTTAAAGCACCCCTCAACATCTTCGAACGACCTTAACTCGATACGAATGCACATCCTTTAGCGTTTATTACCTAAATAACTATTTGTATACACAAGTATTATATAGTTATTGAGTTAAATGCTAGTGCACGCTATTTAGTGGCCCTATTTCCATCAAGCGACATTTTGTGGTACTCGATGCATAAACATGAGAATCGGAGACGGAATCAATGTCATTTCGTGTGTTGTATCGATTAATTCTAAATTTGAATTATTAATACATATTTGAATTAAATGTAATTATGTACTATTTTTTGTATCATTGGTCATCAACAATGGAAATAGTCTTTAAGTCTCGGATCTTAGATTCTTGGAGTTTAATGCAAGTAAAAAAAAATGGATTTGCTTTAAAAAATTGAGGTTTTTTTTTAGGGAAGAAGATCTCCTTGTGACCAACTAAATCTCGGTCGGCCGGAGATGGATTTGACATAAAACTTACAAAATGTGTCAGATTTTTATGTTATTGTATACATATTGATAGGTTTTAGTCAAACAGCTGCTGAATTACGAGTGATCAAATAAAAAACGTAGACTTTCTTGGAACTGGTCGGAATTTTATAAATAAAATACTATATTATAAAATACATTTTTTTAAAAGATAATCCTAATTTCCCAAGTAATAAATCATAATTTATTTTAAAAAGCCATCAATCATTTTGATCCTAAGATTAAATCTTTAGAATTACTAGGTCCAGTAGCAATTACTAAGATCACGAAGTTATTAAGCGTTGCATGAGTAAAGTTCAATTAAGTAATTAATATTGAACATTTTAAGAATACTAAGTAATAAAATTATCAAGTGAGCTTAACTATTACGAATATATTATTTAATGGGTGCTAATGAAAATTGTATAAATATGGTGGCCAGTCCCTGCTTCATACTGGTGTCTTACTACCTCGATAGACCATTAAAAAAGGGGTCCAACAAGGCCAAATGTTCAGGTGGGGTTGCGGAGCAAGTGCAATAAAAAGAAGGAAAGAAAATAAGGTACCGCAGCCTCGGCCTGGAGCAGGAGAAGGAGCGGGCGTTTTTAGTCAGTAAGAGCTTAAAACAACCGCTCGCCTCAAAGAGCCAATAGACCACCACAGACGGGGCCCTATAGGGCTGAAATTTGGCCGGGGTTGCGGGGTAAGCGCAATGAGGCAGCGCGGCATGTCAGAGTCTTATACTGACTTAAACCCACCCCGCTCCTTCTTCTGCTCCAAGCACCCGCAACTCCCTATAATCAACACCTGGGTTCAAACGGGACATATAATAGAGTATAGCGTCAATATGATATGATACAACTTTTTTTTTATTTATATTACATATTTCAACGGTAAATCTAGTTTGAGAGAACAAAACAAGAGATTAGGTATGAATTGTTAATGAATTTTGTAGTTATTTTTACACTTGACCTTTGTAATCGAAAGCTTCCTTATTAAATATATTAATACCAACATACTAGCAATATAAGAAATGAATCTTATTTATAATTCAAATAAAAATATTTATGTTATGTATCCCGAATCGGTCCGATGTCAGGACTTTTAGTAGTATTTTACCTCTATCCAGCCAGTGTTTATTTATAATCCAAACAAAGTAATTTTAGGCCTTGCGTAGTCTTTTTTTGGGTTAAGCAGTTCAAATCGACCACCATAGTTCAAAAAACAAGCGTTTCGCGATCACCTATTATACTTGTAACCACAAGAACAGTAAATAACTACAGACGGGGTCCTATAGGGCTGATGTTTAGCCGGGGTTGCGGGATAAGCCCAATGAGGCACCGCGACAGCAGGAGAAAGAACTGGGTGGTTTATAGTCAGTAAAAGTCTGACACTCACATTCCCCTCACCCAGAGCGGGAGAAGTCATATCATGATTTTCCCCTCACAAAAATAGGCCTGTTAAGGCAGCCGTGTGCGCCTCAGTGAGCTAGCACATGTAGGATCTACGCTTGCTTACGGCCGATCTAGGATAGGTTTTTTATCAGTAAGAGACTGAATAATAATCTATGATTATACCCTCTTCAAAAAATAGTCTATCGATCATCTATTACACTTGAAACCACAAGAATAGTAAAGAACAAGGGCCCATTAACCACTAACGCTATCGCTGCAATTCGTTCTCCATAAAAAAATCTCAATTACACCGATACATGAAACAAATTGGTTGAACTTGACATTTCGCTATGAATATGTATTTATGTATTCTAAGCAATTGGTATGTATGTATAAAATACTCTAATACATTTAATGCTAAGCTTCCGTTCGTTACAAATATTAGTTTTTTTAATTATTTATTCATGTTATTTACCTAACGTAATTGATGATAGTACTTCTTTATTGATCATGTTTCAGTGCTAACTGGTTTTGCTCGTACACATCTAATGTACTAAGTTATTTCGATGACTTTGTATGCTTATTAAATGCTCGTAGGCGTCTATAAATATAAAATTTTACAAAATATGTCACACAGACAAAATACGACAAATAAAAATTTGAGGAATATGCAAAGAGTTGTTCCGATTTTATACCATCTCTATTCTTCCCGTAAGAACTGATTAATTGCAATGTAAACGCAATTATGAACTGCAGCCTTGGCTTGACGTAAAAAAAGGACGGATTTTTTTTGTGAGGGGAAAATCATCAAATGACTTGTGTAGTGTTCTTAGTTCTTGTTCTGTAGTGGTCTATTGGCTATATGAGCCGCGCGCGGGGAACGCTTCGCGTCGTACGCTCGGGTCTGGTTCTGGTCGGGCGGAGAGCTACCCTTACTAGCCGTGGTGGCCTTACGGTGGCCGGAGATCGTCTCTTGATACCCGACGCCCGTAGTGTCGCCTGCTGCGGCGGCTGGGGCGTGAGGAGGAGGATTGCTACCTCACGCGGGCTGCCTCCTTCTTTGCGAGCATAAGTGCTTCACAGAAGGAGGAGGGCGAGAGAAGTGATTTAATAATTTTCGCCCTCATAAAAGAAAAGCAAAAACACTCCTTCATAAAACTAAACCTTCTATGCTTTGATGGCCTATCTGATATTTAAATGTTATTATTCAAGAAGTCCATAAATGCCTCTGCACTTGATCTGTTG